TCTGCTTCTCTCTCTCCCTCTGCCTGCCGCTCCCCCTGCTTGTGGTCTCTCTCTCTCTCTCCCCCTCCCCGTCCCCTCTCTCTGTGTCAAATAAATAAATAAAATCTTAAAAAAATAAAAGCAATCATTGGGTTTCATACCACGTTTCAGAAAAAGACGTGTTTGAAATCTGGAGGTATTTAGAATCACCAGGAAGGACAACAAGACCCCCCAAATAGGGGATATCTGGAGTGACCTGCTGAAAAAGCCAGGATCTGAAAGGGAAGTAGCAGACAGAGAAGAATGCGATGCCTGTGGCATGAGAAGTACAGACCAAAAGTTCCCAGAGGAAGCCAGTAAGGAACCATGGCAGCACTTGTGAAGATCTGCCCGGCCCAGAACTGCGGTCTTCCTGTTAGGCTGCCAGCCAAGTACAAACAGTTGGCTCCCCTTGCCATCCTCTCTTCTCTCCCTTTGAATCTGAAGAGGTCAGAAGTCCTGGTTAGCAAAATAGGAAGGGAGGGCTGGAAGCATAAGACAGAGAAAGAGAAGGATTAGCCTGGCCTTCCCTCGTTGCCTGCCTATTGAAGGCAACTGCTGGAAAACCAGAGAAAATATAAGTTTCATGTGTTCCAGATTTTGATTTTACATGGAACTTAACACTTTTTTTTTTTTTTTTTTTTTTTTTAAATCAGGCTCCATGCCCAGTGTTGGAGCCCAATGCAGGGCTTGAACTCCAAACCCTGAGATCAAGACCTGAGCTGAGATCAAGAATCGGACACTTAACTGACTGAGCCACACAGGTGTCTCTGGAACTGAACACTTTTAATTCCTGAGTTAAGACTGTGTTTGCTAAATAAAGTGGTCATGGAGCTTTCTATTCCCTAAGACGACCCAGCGAAGTCCTGGGGCATGTCAGTATTTTCAAATAGGGAGAGAGGATAGACTTCATCCAATGAGCAGGTTTAAAGAGACAGAGGGAGACAAAAATAAAGTTGCATTCTGATTATTATATTTCATGAATCCTGTTTGTTTAAAATGACAATTATAATAATATTACAAATGTTATTTACTAACTTTACATTTTTATAATAAATCTACAAAGCTTGAAAGACTTAATTATAATTACAGAGCAGAACACAATGGTTCTAAACCTTGATCATGTAAAAGTAATGGTATAACTTAAAGAAGTCAAGAGGTAGATGAGGGAGGAAGAGTAGAGCGGAGCAGAAAGAGTTAATTCTTATTTTACAGAGTGGAAGTAAGAGATACTGCTTTACATCAATGGATAAAGAAATAGGCAGTTAAATAGAAAATTCCAACTTACAAAGATAACCAACAGAAGAAATAAAAATGTAATAAATCAAAATTGGGAAAAGTAGAACAGGGAGAAAAGGGGAGTGTTATGTGATTTAAACGCCTCAGCCTTTGTAAAGGGTTAGCAGTCATTACAGCTTAAAATTGATAAAACCAGACATTAGGTATAAGACTTCAAAACACAAGCAGCAAACAGGTCATTACCTCTGGGTAATGCCCCTGAGGAGAGGGGCAGCTTTTGGTTTTAATCTTACATACTCTATACTTTTTGAATTTTTATTGCATACATAGTGTTTCTAACAATAAATAAAATGAGATTAGAGAAAAAGAGTAATGTTAATTAAACAGTTCCTACCTGGCTCGAATCCACGGTTTGGTGTGCATATTAAGGCTACTTCCCCAACTACCATGTTTGTCCGAAGCTGGGGGCAAAAAGCCCCTTTCGGGGGCCAGCTCCTCTGCAATTGCCCTGATGTGGTAGGGCTCAAATCCACAGCATCCGCCAATGTACCTGATCCCCAGATTGTAGGCCTCTCTGGCATATTTTTGAATATCCCATCTGGTTGCAACTCTGGGCTCCAGTCCT